GAAAGTTTTATCAGATTGGGAACCAGGTCAGCCTGGCTGTTCAAATATATATGCAAAGTAGTTCATACCATAACATAATTAATACACTGTGTGAAACTACTGACATGGGTGTCCTGCTTTTAAATATGGGCTGGCCTGTGTGGGGTAAAATTTACACAGAACTATTATTTTCAACATTGAGTTGGTGAATGCCCAGGTATAATGTTGTACACTATTTGTGTGAGACACTATCTGTATTATTACATCCGTAGTAAGGCATTTTGCAGCAACGTGGACTACAGTATACATGTCATATAGTTCAGGTGGTATTTAAGCTACAAACAAATGGTATGGGTAAGTTGATGGAAATGGAAAAAAAATTAACAGATCTAAAATTAACCAAGGAAAAGTTTAATAATATGTGTATTGCAGCTGGTTGTGACTACATAGAAAATATCCGAGGTATTGACATAAACAAGGCTAAGAAAATTGTTTGTGAGAACAAAAATTATTTAAACGTGTTCCAGTCATTGCCATTTGCTCCAACTGACTACAAGAAACGGTTCCAACAAGCACAAATGTTTTTTCACCACCAGATAGTCATTCGTCCTGTCAAATATGAAACAGTGCCATTATAAAGTCTGTTCGACTGTTCTTCGGTTATCCAACAGTCTGCCATTGTGTATTGTGTCTTGCTCATTTTGACACACATTATTTGAACATTTGAACATTTTTTGCTTCTCTTTTGCGTTTATTATTTCGTTGCCGCTTTGTTTTTTGTTTGCTTGGCGTATGGGACTCTGGGATGCACGAACGCATCCCCAAAATGGCGGAAGAATATGAACTCCGGACAAAAAGACCTGAAATTAGCAAAGGAAATATCATGAGTTAAAAGCCCAAAAAAGATATGATATTGAGGGGCGCTATTAAATATGGTCACATATGTTCATAGATTATGCCAATTGCAATTTTAAATGTGATGTGTGAACAGTTAAGCTGTGACATGTAAAAGTAAATAGACCAGTGTATTTGGGGAAAATACACGAGTTTACAATCAAATGATAGTTTTTATCGAATTCCAAAAATTATCGATTTGAAAAGTAACAGAGCATAACAATATTACATGCAACTTCCTTTTTAATAAAAAACAAAAAGTTTAAACTTTAAAACGTTGCAGAAACTAGAGCGACAACATACCTTTCATCTTGAAGAAAATATCCAAAATAATGCATTGCGGTCGTAGTGCGACCACCGCCTGCATTGTTCATTATATTATGAAATATGATACTAGTTAAAATTCGCGTGCAGCTAAATGTTATTGTATTAGGCAAATGAGAACCATACAATAAATGTCTTAGTTCTTGTAGGTATTTTGAAGGCACGCTTTATCTTTAGTATAGCTACCACAAAGTGTTTGGCGCACCAACTAGTAGCTACTGCGCGAATTTTAATACATGTATTAAGGTATATTATTATTATTATTATTATTTAAGCTTATTTATTCACGGTAGCCTTTCAGAAGCCTGTTTTTCAAAGGGCCGTGCACACTTACTATAAACTATTATAAGAATATTAAAATTATTAACTAAAAAAAAAACAATCATGCATAATATACTCTATTTACATCGGCAAGGCATAATGCTTTGATATGGTTTGGCAGGATGACCTCCCAATTCAAAAACACAAGCCATCTATTAATTTTTTAAAAGAACAGATGGAAGTTTAAGGTATTTCCGTAATTGGAAGTTTTTCCATTAACATTTGGTTCCATGAAACTGCTCCTCTATAGGAGAAGCTTCGTTTTAAAAAATTCGTCTTAGGTTTTGGTAGGTAAAGCTTTTGATGATTATTTCGTAGTTGGTAGGTTTGGTTAACGGAGACATGAAACATCTGTGTTAAGTATTCTGGAGCCATACCCTTAAGTGCTTTAAATGTCATCACTAATTCTCTCTTTTTTAGTATTGATTGTATTTTTGTCCATTTGAGCATTTGAAAAATTTGAGAAGATCGTTCTTCTAAGCCCGAACTGGTAATGATCCGTGCTGCACGCTTTTGCAATTTCAGCATTTTTTCGGCGTGCATTTTATTACCATCATACCATATAGTTGAACAATAGTTGAAATAGGGGAGTACAAATGACTTATACATCATCTGTAGTGTTGCTTGAGGTACGTAAGGCTTCACTTTTCGTAACATAGCTATAGAACAAGAAATCTTTTTAGTTTGTTTTTCAACATGTTTTGGCCATTGTAATTTATCGTTTATTTCTAAGCCTAAGACCTTTTTCTTGTAAACCCGTTTAATTATATGATCTCTAATTTTAATAATAGGGTCATTTCTGATCTGTTTTAAGCGCTTTCCTGAGCCGATTAGCATATACTCGGTTTTTTCTTCATTTAATGTTAATTTGTTTGCATCTAATCAAGTCTTAACGTTTTGGATTTCCACCCCCAATTTGTATTCAATTTCAAAAGAAGACTCTCCAGTTGCAGTTAAGCTTGTATCATCAGCAAACATGGCGGGTTCAGTTATTTCTAAACTATTTGGCAGATCATTTATATAAATTGTAAACAGAAGTGGCCCAAGGTTAGATCCTTGTGGGATGCCGCATGTAATATTTTGGAAGGTTGATAGCGAGTTATTTACTTTGCAAATTTGTTTCCTGTTACTAAGATATGATTGAAACCATGACAGTGCTAATCCACGAATTCCATAACATCCCAATTTGGATAATAGAATCTTATGGTTTACCGTGTCAAAGGCCTTTTTAAGGTCCAAAAATAGGACACCATTAATCAAACCAGCGTCCATGTTTGCTAACCAGCTATTAGTTACATGTAGTAATGATGTTTCAGTTGAATGATTTACACGAAATCCAGACTGAAATTTGGAAATTATTTGGTGGTGTTCCAAATATTTCATTAATTGTTCATGTACAACTTTCTCAAATACTTTGGGAACTATAGAAATGACAGAAATCGGCCTATAATTACCGCATAGGGTTTTTTCTTCTGATTTGTGGATAGGTGTTACTTTAGCAATTTTCCAGTCATCTGGAAAAATTCCAGTCTTAAGAGATTGGTTAAATATATACGTTAGTGGCACAACGATTGCACCCCCAGCGGCCTGCAATAGTTTCACAGAGATTTTGTCATAGCCCGATGATTTAGCAGTTTTCATTTGCTTAATTTCCTCCCTAACTTTATCATGGGATATAGTTTGAAAATCGAAGTTGTGTGGTGTAGATGTTACGAAAGACAGTGGATCGACATCACTTGCGTCTATATTTTTAGCTAAACGTGTACCTATGCGCGAGAAGAAGCTGTTAAATTCTTCTGCAATATTCTCATCTCCTACTATTTTTCCTTCGTCAACTACCAATTCATTAATTATAGTAGTTTTTGATGCATTGTTTAGCAATTCGTTTATCAATTTCCAATTCTCTTTGTGGTCCTTGCATGCATTTAGTTTACTTTTATAATAATTGCTTTTGGTTTCCTTGATTGTTTTATTCAAATTGTTCCTACATTGTTTATACTCATTAAAATAATAGATTGAGTTATGCGTGACCGCTTTCTTTTTTAGGAAATCTCTGCGGTGACCAAGGTACTTAATCTCCGTAGTTATCCAAGGGTTATAAGTGCTTCTAACTTTCCTTTGTCTTAGAGGTGCATGCTTATTAGCTAAAGATAGAAATATAGTTTTCCATACATTCCAAATCTCATTTGGGTCATCAAGATGATAAACATCATTAGCAGCAAAAGCTTGATTTAAGTCATTTTCAAATGCTCGACTGTTAAAATGTTTAAATTGCCTAGTTTCAACAATTTTTGGTTTTTCCCTTTGGGTACTAATTTTGCGACAAGTATACACCAGACTATGGTCGCTAATTCCAAGGTGTATGACTCCAGAAGCAGTAACATTCGTATTTCCCAATTGAGTTATAATAACATCTATCAATGTTCTTGTTTTAGCTGTTACACGTGTAGGTTTCTTAATGAGTTGTTTTAACTGATAAACATCCAATAATTCAATTAATTTTTTTGTACTTGAACTTGCCGTATTTGTATACAAATCGCAATTCAAATCGCCTAGAATAATCAATTCCTTATGTTCTGCCTCAGCCTTTTGCAGAAATTCTTCAAACAAATCGAATACTTTTGCATTCGAATCAGGAGGTCGATACCAAGTCAAAATCAAAATTGGCCGACTCATACGTAGCGTTAATTCAATACAGATTGCTTCAAGATCTTTTGGAATTAGATCGTCTCGTAGAGTGTACGAATAGTTATTCTTGACAAGAAAAGCAACCCCTCCGCCTCTTCTATTCCTATCTCGTCTAATAATCTCATAACCTGGAATCTGAACCATGTTATTTTGAATTGTCTCATCTAATCTCGTTTCATTTAAACTTAATATTTCAAATGGTAGTTGTTGGAGAAATAATTTTAATTCGTCTAAATGTTTTGGAAGGCTAGTTATATTCACATGGGCAAATTTTAATCCCTTTAGTTTCGGATAAATATTATTATTTTGCTTTGGTAAATTGGAACTGTTGATAGGCGGTGGTTTGCAATTCGTCAAGTCCAGTCAATAGTTATCTATATTGTTAGTTATATGCAATTTGATATTGTTTGCTAATATAGCAGAGCCACGTTTGTTTAAGTGTAGTCCATACGGATTCAAATGCATATTACTGATATTACTGTTGTCAATAAGACCCCAGTTCTCTTGTTCGCAAAGATCTTGTATGCATTTGTTGACTTCAACTAATTTATTTTGTAATCTTGTGTCATCACTTCTAATTATTATCTGTGAGAGTGAGACACCAGTGCGGGGGTTTTCTTGTTTTGCCTGATTGCCCAGGTTTTTTAAGTTGTAAATAATTTCAGCCGGTGATTCGTTTTGAGATCATTCGTCCCAACATGAATAATAACTTGCTTCGGTTTTAAAGCAAGTGTCGGCTTTATATAGTGAGCCATTTCGTCGGTTCTACACCCAGAAAAAGTACGAACAGTTACCTGTTTGTTTGTGCCATGACGAAGTTTTCGGACATCAACATGCTTAATCATGGAGTCACCCACCAAAGCTACATCACATTGTTGTTTCTTCGGTTGGATAGTGTCACGTTGATTGCTGATTGGTAAGGAATTTTGCTTTGTGTCTTGGATATTTCTTGGGGTGTTTTTCAATCGTCTTTTCTTTTCGTGGTCTATAGTTGGAGTCTTCTTGGGAACTAAGGTTTGATTATTTCCAGCGTCACCGCTCATTACTGCCTCATCGTCGTCTTCAATTTGCAAGGTAGAGTACTTATTGCTCAAATTTATATGGTGACCAGCACTTTGACTTATGGTTTTGCGGCCAGCTATTTGCCATGAGCTCCGTGTTTGTTGCGCTTGACTAGATTCATCCTTATTTGAACACATTACAGTGGCTTGCTCTTCATTCAGCAACCTAATAACAGTTAAGAGGCTTGATTTCTCACTTTCAGTATCCGTCAGCTTTGTATTTAGTTCGGTTAAAGTATCTTTATATTTTGTTAGCTCTGTTTGAAGAGCCTTGTTTTCTTCTTTCAATAATCTATTTTCTTTAGTAAGATTTTCAGTTGCCGTCGGACTTTTTTGATTCTCATATATATTAACAAGTTCGTTTAGAACAACAGACGTCTCAGTTCGGTGGTTTTCGAATTGGCGCGTTAATGAATCCAAATGTTTAATGACATTTTGAATCACACTCTCTTCATCGCATGAAACGCTCTCCCCACAGGCCTGAAAACTTCCATTTGTTGTGTCGTTGTCGGATAAGCTGATAGCGCGAGAGTCCTGCAAATCTAACACTTCAACTCCCGCCAAGTTCGAAGCTTTCAACGAAGCTTTCAACGAAGCGTGCACGCCTTGGTTTAAGTGCGAAATTATCTGTTTGGTCACTTCCTCCCCGTTTTCGCCCTCAAAAGAAAATTCTGACTCTTTGTTTGCCAGGTAACACACAGTGCCTTGCTGTCGAATTTCCACGTACCACCGCTAGGCGATCGCCAGGTTGTAGTTTCAGCTGTTTGTTCGTCCACTATTGTCGACACTGTGTGGTAAACTGTCAAACCTTTAACTTTTCCTTGTTTATATTTTGTTTATATTATATTGTGAACTAAATGTTATTCTATTAGGCAAATAAGAACCATACAATAAATGTCTAAGTTCTTTTTGGTATTTTGATCGAACGCTCGCTTTATCTTTACTTGCGCGAATTCTAGTAGCTATATTGCGCGAATTTCAATACATGTATTTTAATATTATTGTGAATTAAATGTTATTGTATTAGGCAAATGAGAACCATACAATAAATCAAAATAAACTGTCGAACCTTTAACTTGTTCTTGCTTATATTCCACTATATTGTACAAATTCGCGTCGGGTCCAAATTTTGGGGTTTTCGAGTCGTTTAATACAACATATTGATTGTATAAATCCGCCGGGCCGGCTAAATTTTGGAAGCCAAATTTTAGAGCCGTTTAATTAATACAAAAAGAAAAACATTAATTCAACACACAAGAAAGTCCAGAGTGCGACAAAAAATAAACACAACTACACCACGGATGTTTATGACTCTACAACGATATTTATAGACAGTTGTTTATTAGTTAAAAAGTCAAACTGTGGAACCTTTAACTTGTCCTTTGTAAAATTCGCGACACAACGTAAAATCCATAGGAAACCGGCACAACTCTTTGAAAATTCAACGAAACAATGTGAAATATATTTTGGTCACTCAGCCAAAAGGCGCCATTTTGAAACTGGACTGAATATGTCACCATTGGAGTTCGGAATTGTGCGCGTGCGTATAAGTCCATATAAGTCTATATATGGGCATGTGCTAATAAACGAAAAATGCACCACAAGCATGGCATGAGCCGACTATTACGTACATAAATACAAGCTTCTTACTATTATACATGAATCGTGGAGTCGAAGAATCGATGGCATTTTGGATTAATCGTTGCAACCTGAGCCTGCGATGCGCGAACGCAAACTAGATTTCTCGACGACGAAAAAAACAGAAGAAAACAGAAAACTAGGGATTTAAGACACTTGAAGTTTCAGGTCAGTTTAATAACATTAAATATATAGGTTGGACTATAGGAGATAATCTAACCACGGTTAATCGAAGGAGACTGGTTAGGCTAGCCGGCAAACTTCAAAGGGTCTCTGAAATTATGTTGGGAACCACAAAAATAAATGTCACGTGGTGCGATCCCTGCATCACACAAGGAGTGATACTAAGAAAACATTAAGAGATTTAGAGTGTTTTTCAAAATTTAAGCGATTTTTATACCTTTTTCGCAAGTTGAAAGCATATTTTTATGGATACACGGCGTTTATGGACATCCCACAGGAAGAATATCAAATTATAATGACTCAAGAACAAAAAATCGAACGTAAAGCACCGAGGTTGTTTGACACTCGTATCGAGTATGGCAAACGGTATGAACAGATCAAGCCAAAGCGAGTCTGAAATTTACCTAGAAGATTCTGAAAATGAAGACTAAAATTTTGAAGTTACCGTGGCTGTTACGCAGGCTGAATGAGAGGATATAAAGGACGAATTTAATGACGCTTTGAGCGAAATACATGGTGAAAAATCGTTCCCTTTCCAAAGTGTGACAAATTGTGTACTAAAGTCTATTAATTTAAAGGCGGCTTAACCAGACACACGAATATTCGAAGCACTGCGAATTTTCTTCCCAACAAACATGACCAGAATTGCATATTTTTGCTACGATACTGTTGCATCGATTGTGGAATCGATCAAGTGGCAAATTATAAGAGAAAAATTGTATGGGGTTGAAATGAGCAACAGCGCCAAGACTGCATCATGCACTCAAGCTTTGTTTTGATGCTTTATTCAAGCTAAGTTCTGTTGAAAGTTGACCAAGCTGAGCGTGAACCTTTGTCGTATGTCGCAGGCTATATAGTATCAAAACTTTGTGCTTGGAAAATGTCATCAAGTTGTTGAGGAAGGTCACACTTTTATATGCAAGGGACTATCTGAACAAGGAAGGGCCTGAAAAGATTAGCTTAACCAGCAACATAAACTGTGTTGACAATCATGTAAATTGTGAAAATGATTGGAACATAGACGGATTTTCTGGGGGGTGCAGGGGGTGCTACCCCCAATATTAGCTATAAACCCCTCCCCCCCTCCTAAAAAAAATTCACCCCCCCCCCAATATTCGGCATAATAAATAAATAATAGTCCACTCCAACGTGCAGAGTGCTGATGATACAAAAAAATATATAGGAGTACACTCGAACAGAAAAAGACAGTGCAACACTCTGAAACTAATCGCTCCTCGCTTGCATTCACTGGTTTATTGGAGCAATTGTAAAGTTTTGAAACTCTATTATCTTCCCTGAATAGAGTTTGCAGTGTCTTGTTATGCGAATAGCTTGCACGCAAGGAACGTTTGGAATTTTTACGAACACTATTTTTGTTTTTAATTCTTTTAGGAAATAGACTTGCCTAGATTTAATCTTTACGCCTCAAATATTATTACATCGGAGTGGCATCATAAATTGTACTCGGATTCAAACAATACAATGTCAATGACTTTATTAAAGTAAAAGCATTATTGTGTATTGACCTGTTGGGTTTACACTTTTACAGGTTCATTTAACTTTAAGTTTCTAACTCTCTCAAGTCTCAACAGACAATCGGACATGCCAAATCCATTGATATGACAAATTGACAACTTCCAAAACTTTTTTTCGAAGCTAGAAATCATGAGTTTTTTTCAAATTTTTCCTGGGATTCTTTGTTTTCTCTTAAACTCCCCCTCGCGGCTCTAGTTCTCCACCCCTAGAATATAGACCTTACTGGGGTTTGGTGACACTTTGTGTTGCTTCAGTCACCCGCTCATGGCTCGCCCCCCTAAAATTTCTGGCACCACCCCAGTAATAAATATGAAAATCCGTCTATGGATTGGAAACTATACATGTGTTATCATTATACCACACTCTGACCTCGACTGACATTACCTCTTGCAGCAACAATATGTAGGCTCCAAAAGTGAGAGCTGTACCAGATGAGCAGTGTTACATATATGGTAAATGCTCTCGATTAGGTCTAATATAAATATAGATATGTATAGTTTTCATTTGAAACTGCCATTTACAAAAAAAACCTTCAACACCATACTTATGCCATAATAGGGTGACAGAAGTTGCTGTTGATATTGGTAATTTGGTGGTGTACACTGGTCAGATACATATTGCTTTAACTAGTTTTTCCCTTAAGCATTTTGACTATTGTTGGAAACCACTGTTTTGCAAAGGATACACTCTAGCAGTTGATGCGAAAGATTTTTTAGCTAAAGTAGGCAAAATGCCAAAGTAGAAAAATAAGCATACCTGTTCATTCACTGTCATATTAAAGCAACATTATGGCCAGGATAATTATCATTAATCAACTACAAGATTAAATATTCCACAATCATGCATTTCCACTGTATTGCTAGCATGCAGGTTAATCACCTGTGAAAATACATTTGCAGTAATTCTTACAACTGATAGTCTTATTAAATTGTTTTATCAATATGAATATTTTAAATAGTTATATAATGTTATTAGAACGTTGGCGGTTGTAAATACTGTCAGAGTATACATAAATATGTTCCTCGCCATGTAATAATTTATAGTTTATAACAAATTTTGATTGTGCACAATTAACCCCTGGAAAAACGTACTTCAGATAAACAGACACCTTGTGGCTCAGTGCCATGTTCTACAACACATTTCGCAGCATGTTGTCAACCGGTGCTGCACACAGGTAAGGATACCATAACAAATTATCAAGAATTGCAAATACTTTGTGTTGCTGATGAGGTATACAACGATGGTACCTACCATTTTCATTACTATACATATTACTACATTCATTCCATACTTTATATGTGTGTTGGTGTTATGTACTAAGCTGAATATGATGTTTGTGGTGTTACTCTGAGTGTGCATCCACACCTGGCAAGTTGAAAAGTCCGCCTGACCACAGTGGGATTCGAACCCACAACCTTTGGGATACTAGTTCAATGCTCAGCCAACTGAGCTATGAGGTCATGTCGGTTCACTAGTATCCCAAAGGTCACAGGTTCGAATCCCACCGTGGTCAGGCAATTTTTTAAGCTTGCCTGTTGGGGATGCACACTTAGAGTATTAACACCACAAACATATTCATTCCAAATGGTCAAAACATAGAGTAATAAAAATGCTTTCATTATTTGGATATGTATGTAAGCTTTGCAATTTTATAATGATGTCATTTTACAACATGTCTATGAGAAATGGGAATACAAATTCATACTGAATTAGCCCATTGAGTGGCAGGACTCTCCCCTTAATAGGTAAAACTGTCTAGTGTTAGAGTAAAATAATAAAGTAGGGATGGGTGCATCAGGGTGCAATGCCAAGGTTAATGCATAAACAAAAGCCAATATTTATATCAATATATTGCCAACTGTTCTCAATTTCTAATGTCAAATTCTAGGCTGATTAATTAGTATATCTAATAAGAGCACAATCAACTCATGTGTTTTTACTTGCAAAGGAGAAATAACACGGGTTTTAAATGAGGGGGGGGGAGCTTAAAAGAGAATTTTTGACAACTCATAAAATTGCATAACTTCAAATAAATTATGAGAACATGCGTTACTTAAGTGGTACTAGGTCATTTCTTTGGGCTTTTTCTTTTCTTCACAGGTTCATCACTAACTCTGATAGCAGGTGCAATGTCTCTTTGTGCAGCAACGGTGAGGTCATTGTAGCCAAACTGCTGGGCTGTGGGATTGTCAGTCTGTCAGAGTGTCCACCTTTCGCTTGTTCATGACCAAAATAGTCCCCTAACCCATCTTACATAAACCTTTCGCTGAGAACATGAATCAGGAAACCCAACCAAGTTGTGATCAGATGTTGGGTCGACCAATGTACAACTGATTGAGTGTTCACATCTTCTGGCAAGCATACTTGTTAAAATGCATTCGGGCTTGAAATGAAGTTCACAGAGATAAACGTTGCTTGCTTCAATACGTTTTTTAAAGTCTGTAGTCAACACCGTGTCCTCAGGATTAAATTTGTCCATTCCTATCACGCGTTTTCATTCAATTGTCAGGTTTGCTCGCTGTCGTCGGCACGAACGGACGGCATTTTAAAGAATGAAAGCCCGTGCTTTCTGCTGCTTGAACAACCATAAAATGCACAGTTTTCGCTAGGCATGACATTTGTCTTGCCATCCAACAAAAAAATAGAATTGAAATAAAAAAACAACCGCTTTATATTGAAATTTCGAACGCAGGTTTTGTGTACATTCTTTATATTCCTAATAAGCGATTGAGATCTGATGCAGGGAACGGACCACGTGACCCTTCAAAACAAGGTAGAATAACATAATTTGTCACGTGGTACAAGTAGCCTAACCAGTCTCGTTCGATTAACCGTGATCTAACAGAGCTTATAGTGATCAAGTTCGAGACTTTCTAGCTATCGGGTATAAATATATTTTAGTTGACTGGAAAACTAAAGCACTACTTTAATATTATGAATAATGTACATTAAATGAAAACGTTGTAACTAGTTATGAAGACTTTATAAAGGTATACCATTCCAACGAAAACAAATTGTTTCGAGCTCTTTACACACATAAAGATAACGTAAGTGAATCTCAGAAACCTGGTGTGTACCGCATTCCTTGTGAATGTGGTCTAGTTTACATTGGTGAAACTGGTCGAAATCTCTCAGTACGTCTTAAAGAAAACAAGATGAATTGCGAGAACGCCGAGCAAGATAAATCTGCTGTGGCTAAACATACTTGGACTTACGACAATCGTATAAAATGGGACGAAGCAACCATTTTGGCGATTGATAGTCATAAGTTCTCTCGCAAAATGAGAGAGTCAATTGAAATCGTATAGCACAATACTATAGATGAGGAGGGAAATCTACTAGATAGTACGTGACCGGAGCGCTCTCTTTAATGTGCAAAATTAATTTCTCTTGTCTTGGATGCGCGCGCGTTAATTGGAATCACTTCACTACGTTTGAAATGACGTGGTTGATGTGCCGTTTAAGTACTATTTAAAACACGAGAAGGAGTGTTTTATCATATTTAAAACGCGAGGCGCAGCCGAGCGTTTTAGATATGATAAAACGCGAGTTCGAGTGTTTTGAATAGCTTAAAATACGACTACAAAAGAATACTAATTAGGATGAACAATTATATAATCATACTAATTAGGATGAACAATTATATAAAGAATACAAATGAAGATGAGTTTTATCAGATATAAAGTCACTCCACGTGACATGTTATGACTGACATGATTTGCCACAAGGTTTATGAATTTTTAATGAGTATTTTAATTAAATTTCAAATGACGCGAGCCAACAGATCACGACACTTTTGTATATAAAAAGGGCGTGTGAACTAAACAAGTCACATATTATCACAGAATAGAAAATAGACCAGAAGTCTCACTGTACACCTTTCCCTAACATTTTCGTGTCCGCGATTTTTGCCTTGCGGATCACGAATTTCGCACGCAAGATGACATGTGTGACACTTGCTGCGAACATCACATCAGCGTTCGTCAGCGTCAATCCTTCAAATCAACGGTTTTTCTTGAAAATCGCAAAACATGCCCAAAATGTACGCTGTATATTCTGCAATTATTGCGCAAATATTTTACGCTTTTGTTTTTTACGTTGGTTCTTCCTGTTGCGATGACCCATTATTTGGACCTGTGGCATTTAAAAACGGTTAAGTTAATTAAAACAGCAATCTTTATTACCTAGTGATGGCAATTGATGGCGTTGCTCGCGCTTGATGGCGTCGTGATTACACTTTCTCGCGATTACACTTGCTCGTCGTGATTACACTTGCTCGCGCTTGCGCATAAAAAATCTCGGACATAATTTTGGCTAAGTGAGGCTTCTGGTCTATTTTCTATTCTGTGATATTATTAGCACTGATGAAGATCCGGGATTACGGATCGAAAGCTTTGCAGTAATAAATTTACGTTGTGTTTCCACAAACTAACTATTATAAGTGAGTAAGTTATTTTTATTCTTAATATTTCATGCGTTCAAGTGAGCTTCAACTTGCTTAGCTTTTCTACAATGTTTTCATGTATGTTTCTAATAAAGTAATAATATGGTTTTTCTTCCATATTAAAAAGTACTCGTCATTAATTTGGTGAGTTATTCTACATATGTTTGTTAGAGCGCTGTGCCAGAATCTCAAGGCCACATAATCTATAAATACTCGCATTTTTTGCAGCTCCAGCTAATTAGCTCTAAAAAATTATGTAAATTTGCTCTCAAACATCTATCTGGCAGAAAACTAACTACTTTTAATTTTATCGGACAAGATACCTAAAAATTGCTTACAGCATTTTCTAACATTTTGTGAACCGTTTAGAATAAGGAATTATATCATTTTTTAACTTTTCTCTATTCGGTTTGGCTACATTCCCAAGAAATTTAACAGGATGTATAAATTTAATATCATAGTTATAATTTATCCAGACCAATTTTCCATCAGCAAAATTAATAGAGCCATACTTGTCCGGCAGATATAGCCCATAATGCTTTTCCCAAGAATCATGTAAATCTAGAAAACTCATAATCGTCGGCACTGCAACTTCCAAAAACACTCGATTTTTATGAAACACGAAAGAAATTCGCTGCCACTGATCACTGAATTTCTTGGGTACATAAAATAGGTCTGACCAGGTGTTAAAGCAACGCTTCTTCCCTCCGCCATTAACACGGTGTATTTTTATCAATTTCGTTACGTTTGTATATTCGCTCGAGCGATTTTCATTCGTGATTTCCAAGTAAGAGTCTTCGCAAGCCTTTGCAGATGTAGTTTTCACGCTCCACCAAGGCCAATTGTTTGGTATTGGTCGATTTCCCATAATATGACCGTTATTGTTCATGTCCATTCTCCCACCTTGCCAAAATTTTTCCTTATCAAGATGGTAGAATGTCCACCAGTTTACAACCATGTCGTCATTGGTATACAAGTAACCACGGTAACCAGGATACCTATACGGATACAACCACAATTTAGCAGACGTCGCCATATCGCCGCCACATGATAACTCAAAAATATTTTGTTGCACGTCTTAGCAGAAAATTCATCCTCACTTTTCTGAGACACGCCGCAGGATCTGAGATGCAACTGCTTTATCAAGACTTTAAAAAAAGTAGAACAAAGGTCGCGAAAGCATCTCAAATGTGGTACGGGGAACCGTTAGAAAGGGCTTCGAACTGTGACGTGTATAGCTTATTTAGCAACCAAAATCGCGTGACCAAGTCGCAAAATATTAGCGTTCAAAGGGTTGCGCTCTTTTTCGCTTCCAAGAATACGATAGGCAGATTTATTTGGGCAAGAATCCTGAGAGAAGATGTCAAGGTTTACATATTTAATTCTCTATATAACTATATTTGAAGATATACACAGGATTACTGTGATATACACGGGATTACTGTGATCATATATTAATTTTATTTATTTATAGTCTTATGAAGGGTGTATAACAAGATAGACATCACACTTTGACAATTTATAATAATAGTTTGATATAAAATCTAGGTTTATAGACACCTGAACAAGTTCAATATGGAAAGCTATTATTTTATCAGGCTTAGTTACCAGGAAATAATCTATACTTTGTTTCGACCGTCATTCAAAGATAAGAAAAGTGCTGCACAGCGATAATGTTTGAGATCTTGAAAACGCGAAATTAAATGAAATTTGATAAATTCACAAATTGTATTTAACCTTGCATTGTGATGAAAACATAATTTTTTTTCATAAAAGTTATCCAAAAGTCAGGAAATTTGTTTTAATAGGCCTATAACTTTACAGGAACAGGAAACAAAAAAAAAATCCCAATACTTATTAGTATGTGAGCTGGAATCATTTTAGTAATAGTATAGCTGGGATCGTTTCAATAAATGCATGAACATGACCAAGCATACAAATGTTACAACACATGTTATAACATGGTTATTGAACCTAATTTATTGGTACAAAATATTATATAGATTATTTTTCTGGGAATGTATGACTTTCTACATTTTTATCAAGTTTTGTAAACGTTATGTAGTTCACAGATTATGTGAATCGTTACAAATGTACTGTCATACCAGAAAAAAATTTAATCCACAAATGGTACTTTTTGAATTTTGGAAAAAGTGGGAAGACGCATCTCGCATCATTAATATCCATAATCAGGGCCGTAGCTAGATAGATAATTGGGGGGGGGGGGAGTATATTCATATATTCGTGTTCTGCCCGACGGATTTCTTTTGAAAGCGATTGTTTTTACAATACGTGAACATGAATGTATGAATATACTCCCCCCCCCCCAATTATCATGCCTAGCTACGACATTGTCCATAATTCATTAATTCAGCGCCACAGAACACTCACCTTAATCGAAACAATTATTCATAATCCGCCCTTTAACTAGATTTTTAACCGATGCGCACCTATGTTCAGTCACCACCCCCACTTCAATATTACAGACTTTGTGATTTAGGCTTACGGCAGACAAGCAATAAGCGCAAACGGTAAACTTCAAATTGCATTTGAAGGTATGGTCCTACACGTTTCCGAAAGCTAAGTAGCCATATAAATTATAATTAATGCTTCAATCTACAACCACAAGTTGCTATTACTTCGAACAGCTTACAGTTGACATCAGAATACGATTTAAAGTATGGCGTTTGCGGTAATTAGTGATCTGCTGTAAACATCATGCGCAAGACACACTGGGAAGGCGCATCTAATAAGAGTATCCGCTGAATGTTTTGTCTAAGGGGCGGGTCAATGATGCGTCCGACTATCAATGAGGAGTCCGACTGTCTACGGAAAAAAAATTTGCGTCAGCGACACTGAAATTTGACCCCGAAAACGGCGGTCAAATATGTGTTAAATTGTGCATCATAACTCGGGAAGTTTCGCGTCAAATTAAAAACTTTTTTCAGCGTATTGAGACATATTCGTCTTCTTCAAGAATGTTGAAAGAATTTGAATGTACATCTTATCTTAAGCCTAACAGTCTCCATCCAAGAAGTCGGTATTATCGTTCGCCGAACAACTAATGATTAGGTACAAAATTCAAACTAAAAATTCTCGAAAGTGCAACCTGCTTGGTGTCTAAAACACTTTTAGGGTTAAGGTAGAATACTTGAAATTAAGTTATTCGCAATAAAATTTGTCGGCAAAACGAATATGAAGGAGTGCAAAACTCATAAATTATGGCTATATTAATTAAAATAGCTCTATTGTTTAGCTGAATGTGTTTCCGGTTATCACAAAGGTACTCGCGGAGCTTTAATATCAGCGATTATTATATATACAAAATGTGACCCTCTTTGGGAAAACATACGTTAACGTTTTTCCGTTAAAACGGCCAAAAAAACGGATTGCAAACGGATAGTGAACGGTTTGTATAAACCGTTTTCACGGTCTTCGAAAACGTTAAAACGGTGCCATGATATTTTTTAACGCTTTCGAGAAACCGTTTTCACGGTTAAAGGTTACCGTTTAAACGGATGGAAGAAGCCGTTTTCACGGATAGTGGCATCCGTTTTAACGGATGAAGCCACCAGTTTAAACGGATGAAGGAATCCGTTTTAACGGATAGAGGAAAGTGTGCGTTTAACGGATAGCCCGTTAAACGGTTTGAGGGATTAAAATAATTCAGCAGCTGTTTGTAATCGGTATTTTTAATGTCTCATATATACATCAACCTTTCTCTACTAGGTCTAACCAAAAAGTCTCATAAAAGTTACAACAACAATATGTAAATCCGTGTCCTCGTTCAGCCAAGTGTGTCTGATCGCGTGACCTAACATATTTGCATATCGGAAGTAATAACCTGGAAGTTCATATCGTAACAGCAGCTGTGAGTTGTGGAGAAGCATTAGTCAGTGTACCTGTTTTTATATGCGATACACTAGGGGAATTAAGTTAGTGCATGTAATAATTTTTTATATCATGCACCGAATCCAGTTGCTGCTGAAACTTAAATATTTAACTGTAGAGTGTAGTGTATTATATATATATTCCCGCACATGCAGGCTAACCCATGCCGATATTGATGTTGTATGTGATGTTATATGATAATTATGTTCGTAATAGATGAGAGTTATGATGACGCGACGTTGTAATTTTATATTGAATATAGTTAGATCAGCGAGTAGAGCGAATTAAGCTTATTAACAGTTTTGATTATGCGTGTTTATTATACGAGAAAGTTTCTGTCAATAACAACATGCAGTACTCGCCGATTTATGAAACGCTTTACTCATATTTTTTATTCAGCCCCCTATATATATATATCTACCTAGAAACAAAATACCTACAGTAAGAGCTTGTGCAATTAAGTTGTCTGCATCCTCTCGCTTATTACATCCATATAGCTACTTTGTTTTGAAGCTGTCGCGCAGCTTAGTTCAATGAATCTTTACGCCGCAAAACCTATTAACTTAAAATTTCCTCTTGGCAGCAAACACTTATACATTTTTACCTTATTATCGCTTCTAGCCTAATTGTGTTAACACATCTTATCTTGACACCAATCTTAATGTAATTGCTTTTCTTCCTCACAATAACTTATTCGCTTGACGCTCTCGTCAGCTATAGCCTATATGTCATTGTAATGATGACCTTTCGTTGTTTAGTGAAATTATATCATGTGAAAATTTATTAATGTTTGAGTATTTTCTCGCGAACTCGCAAACGTTTCATTTTGCAAGCAATGAACAACACCGGAACAGCCTGGTGTGTAGATTTTATGCTGAAAACCTGTAGTTTCATATACGCACGCAAGTTTCTCATTGAAGTCATGTTTATAATTTGTAAAGCAAATGGCTTACGATAAAACGCTCTATACCGATCAGTCAATGGAAATATGCATATGAAATCAGTATTGAATAAGGAAAACATTTAGCACGTCATGGTGTTTGCTGCACGAATGTAGGCTAAGTGTAAAAAATTAAATTTAATTCGGCGTCATGTCTTATTACACTGATCCGCCGTGTAATAAGACATGACGCCGAATTAAATTTAACTCGTATTGTCGGAAATCACGATTTCTCAAGCTTATCCTTAGCGCTAATAGTCAACTGAACCGAAGTTACCAAACATAGACGTCATTTGAGATATGTATATGATTTACCATGACCACAATTATAACAGTGAAATTAAG